TGGTCACCTTAACCCTTTCAGTCCCAAGAGTGACCAAAATCAGTTTTCTCCAAACAATATCAAGACATCATCAAGAGAAAAGGTTGGGAGAATTAAGAAAATGATGAACAAAGGAGAAATGCTTTGATCTTCTATCAAGTTCTCTCAACTGATTCTATAAGGCAATTTATGGATACTAGTGCAGAGAATTTGTATTTGGATGCTGGGGCTTAAAGGGTATGTTCAGCATTGCTGCATTCTTATAATGCCAAGAGAAAAAGTGTTTACTACCAGCGTGAAAGCAATGTTCAAATTGGAAATCAGGGAAAGTGTTTTGAGTCGCCTCCATAGTCTGTTTAAATTACAGGAACCAGGACTAACATGTACATGTATAAGCAGATTAGTCACTGAATGGGAAAGAATGGGCTTATGAAAAAAATAATTCACATCCTCATGTGTACACACCCATGCATCTTGCTTTAAATATGATAATAGTTATTGAAATAATGCTCATCATAATAAAAAAATACCTCATTAACTTGAGTAAGTGTGATCCAGTCACAGTATCTGGATGATTTTCTTGCACTACAAGGAGCCTTGATCATTTCACTTGGACACCGTGTTGCAAAATTGTCCATTCCTGTAGTACAGAATGCAGAAATAAAATCACTGGAATTATAATGAAAGTAGTGAGGTCTCTTCAAAGTTGAAAGGTTAAGTTCCAACCCAGATTTGTGTTACTTTACCCTTTAAGCCCAATATCCAAAATATGAAAATTCTCCAGGCTGTTCTCAGAATGCATTCTTCAGGCACACATTGTACAGTCATACGTTCTTCACTTCATAGAAAGCAACTTTTTAGATTCATTTTTATAATAATACACTTACCATGATTACATTTTCCAAGAATTGATGGAGGGGACAGTGAAACAGGGACAAATTTTTCTTTTTTAGCAGCTTTGTGGTACCTCAGATGAATTGGTATGCTAACATTCACATAAATGGATCCCAGTCTGTGCACAAAAAATGAAAACAATGATAACTATTGATGTCCTCTGTATATTTCTGGATATTCTTATTCCAGCAAAAATACTTTTTGTCTATTACTTCATTGTTTTATTGTCTTTTAAAAATGGGGGGGAAGGAACCTGGCCCCCCAGCCCCTCCCTCTGAGGGGTCCTGCTTGTGTCTTTCACTGTGAGGAGCTTCTTTACATTTAGAATAAAAACTATTCTACCCTAGATTTTCTAACAATAATAATCATAATAATGCAAGAATTTATATACCGCCATTTCTGTGAGCTCAATGGCGCTTTACAATAATTGTAATTCTAAAAATAAAAAACATTTGAGTTATTAAAGAAAATATATAAGGGTTGAAGAAATTAATTTCTAAAAAATAAGATACATTCGACTTGCTAAGATTAACTAAGGAAAATATATATGTTGCAGGTAATTTTTTTTCTTAGGTAAATTTAATTTTTCACTATGTACAATTTTTTAACCTAGGTAATTTTGCACCACAATATTTTTTCATTTGCTATAACAAAGATAGGGATATTGGGCTTTACTAAGATTTATAAGGATAAAACAATCTGAGAGTGCAAGATTTCACTGCCACCCCAACTCGCCCACCCTTTAATTCAAACATTCATAAAGAAACTGGAGATTATGGCTCAAGGACATACGGCAATCAGTAGCCAGTGAGTCAACTCATGACCTACCTTGAGTTTACTACGTCTGCTTTAGGAAATAAAAAGACCTTGTGTGGAGAGGAATGATGTGCCATTACCTCAGTATTTATAGCCTCTGTGATTAAAACCTGAAAAATAATTTATTATGATTATTATATTACATCCACTTGGAAATCACTGGCTATCCGTGCAATCTGATTAGCTCTCAGCGGTGTGATTTATTCCTAAATCACACCATTTTTTGCTCTATATCACATCTGTTCCAAATCGTGTCATTCATGTTCTAAATCGCATCATTTCTGTTTTAAATCGCACCATTTTCGTTCTATATCACATCATTTCTGTTTGGAATACAAAATGAGATGTAAAAGCCTTTTTTGTTTCGGCTTTTTAACAACCGGCTACTTGATCAATGAAATATTAGTACTGACTAAATTCTGCGATTTGAAAATGGAAGTAATAAAGTGGTAATTGAACTTTGAACTCTGAACTCTTTGAACTCATGATTTCAAATCGAACTCGTGCTGCGCGCTTGTTCGATTTTGAAATCACGCGTATGATTTCAGACCAAATTGCACTCCACTCAGTTCAATTACCATTATATAACAAGTAACCTCACCATGACCCCAACACCAGTAGAAAATGAAAACACAGGCTTACAAATTAAAAAAAGTTAGATTATTAATAACTGATAAATGATTTTTAATAGTAATTTTCATTAGTTTTTAGAAATTTTTTGAGCTAGTTCTGACCTCAGGACCACCAAACTCCTCTTCATTCTTGATCTGATCTGGATCCACATACACACCACTTGGAAAGTATTCCACTAACAACAGCTGGCAATCCTGAAGATCAGAATGACTGCTGCCTGAAACTGTCCACTCCACATAGGTAGTAAGGTCTCTAATGCAGGGAACAAACATCATGTTATATAGTTCAGGAAAGCCAATGATAGTTTCAACTATCATTTACTATGAATTGCTATTAATTGGATCAAGATATAGAGTAGAAGAGTTCACGACAGTCAGAACCAGAAATTCCTTGTTTGCTCTTGGGAGCTCTAATCCCCGTCCCCAAGCTTCACATCTAGGAAAATGTTAACAGATGTCATAATATCCACTTAGGGTCACGTTGGTCAAATAGCCTAAACTCAGCTTGATCATGGCTTTTTTGTAGAAAATATAGGAGAGCTGTTTTTCTCGTCAACTTTGTTGAATTTCTGGGGAGGATAATGATTATTTTTGATATTTATTTAATTTGTTTTTAGCTCCACATTTCTGTATTCCTGTCTTTTTAAGCAATTTGACGTGTCTCATTACCTGACTTGCTTAATATTCCCTCTGCACTTAACAACACTGCTCCATCTTTCTTTTCTGCCATTTTGTGTGCAAAAGGTCATGCCAAGCCCATTGGGTAAAACATGAAACAGCTGACTGATAAACTAAATTAAACATCTTATCGCAGCCGTAAGGGAAACATTTTTAACAACTATCATGAGATACTTAAACATATTCAAAGCATGCGATAGTCAGTGATAGTTGATGATACCTGGGGGCCAATTGAAGCTATTATTAAGAATCTTGCCAAATCACCAAATTCTTGTATAACAGTTATGACTTAAGAAAGAGTAGCTAAATTTAGCTATTTAGGTGTTGTTTTAGATGAGAACCTTTCTTGGAAAGATCACTTCGAGTATGTAAGCAGCAGAGACAGTAGGAGGCATGCATAGTTCACAGTTTGAGCAGATAAAGTATAAATCAGTAAGCACAAATTTACCTGTGGAATCCTGGCTTGTTTCGACCTCTCTGTACAACCACGTTTCCACATGAGCCTTTCCGTTCTTCATAGGAAAGACAAAATTTAAAACATACTAAAATTAAGGTACAGAAGATGACTATCAAATTTGTTTTTCTAACGCGACTACAATCGAATTTTAGAGACATTTAGCAAAACATAATTTCAGGCTGCAAGGAAAGAAAGGAGATTCCCTGAGATTCCCTTGAGGCGCGCGCTAGTGCGCGACGCATAACTTACCACAAGGAATTCTCTGACCAACTCTGCGGGCTCGCAAACCACATGGCAAAATGGCGGACCTGCGAGAGCCTTTCGAACTATGTAAAGTTTTACAGACCGGTTCATTAATTGGAATCGCCAGACATGTTGACGATGATCATGTAGTTCTAACTTTTAGAGACAGAGGAGTCCTTGTTTATAATGTGAGTAATGAGTAAGCATTTTAGGCCGGAAGGTACAGTAGAAGTTACCCCGGTAGGGAAACGAAAAACAGTTCGAGTTAGCAAGGAATTCGAGTTATTGGGATAAATTTCAGTGCAATTTTGATTGAGGAAAAGGAAATTTAGTTCGAGTTAGCGGGGAATTCGAGTTATCCGAGTTCGAGTTATCGAGGTTCTACTGTATAATGCTCTTATGAACTCTCTTGGTGGCACTGATTCTTGTAGGTTCTCAAGCCGTTATTGTACACTGATTTTCTTTCACAGCTTCAGCACCAGAAACTTATCAATAGCTGGTCTGTGGAGCAACGGGAGGAAGTAACTTGTGCAGCTGTTCACAATCCAATCGATGCAAATTTCTTAGTCGCTGTAAACAAAACGGTAAGCAGAACGTATTTGCGCATCAGGGCGTCATTGATTATTATTTTTCATTTACCTGATTTAAATAAGGTACGTGAGTTTTGAGAAGTTTCCATTAAAGAATTTAGCGTATGTGGATCACAGTCCACAGAGTTGACTTGAGGAGTACTTTTTTTTAGGAAATTTTTATGTGGAAAGAATCTGATTCTGATTTTAAGAAATGCCAAAGATTCCAAGTAAGTACTTTTTGTTATGTGTATGTAATTGATCTGGTAGTCATAAGGTTCCAAATGTAAATTTGTCAGAGTTTATAGTTCTCCTGGTCTATTATGGTAAAGTTTTGAGTTCTTCTGCAAACAAGCTGTAACCAAACTCAAATGCTTTTTCTATAGAAAATATATTCCCTGAATAATGACTGTTTGGTACAGCCCTGTAGTTGATTCATCGTGTTTAAATTTGACCTTTTTCACCTTTTTGTGACGTTTTGTCTTATGTAAACAATGGCTTGAACATTATGCAGGTATCAGTGTTCAGACAGCTGAGCAGAAGGGGGGGGGGGGGGGGGAGGGCCCGGGAAAGGAACAGCTTTTAAACTTTTGTTTTTGAACACATTTTATGGGGAAGGGGAATTTTTGTGGGGGCCCGGGAAAACGCCCTTTTTTTGGGGAAAAAGAGGGGGGGATTTCTGTTTTCACAAACCCAAATTAAAAATAATTATTAATTTTTTAAAAAGATTGTCAGTTGTATTGGTTGTTTGTTAACCGCTTTGTGTTTTTTTTTCTTTTTGTATTTTTGTCTTTTTTCTCTTTTTTTGTGGTTTTTGTTTTTTGAAAAAAGGGGGTTGGATATTAGGGGGGGTGAGGGGTCCAAACGGGGGGAGGGGGGGGGGGGGGGGGGGTGGCAGGTCCAGGCAAAGTACAGCATTTAACACTTTGTGTTTGAACACATTCTATGTGGAATGGGAATTTCTTGTGAGGTCCTGCGAAACGTCCCTATATTGGTGAAGAAAGAGGAGAGATGTCTGTATTCAACAATCCAAAATCAATAATAATTATTATTTGTTAAAAAGATTCTTTAGAAAGTAATTATTCAATCAACTTATTTACTTTTTATTTTTTTAATTGTAGACAGAGAAAGAAATATTCACTCTGCTTGTGTGGAATAGCTTGCAACATGATCCACTTATCATGTTTGAAGATGGTTCTTCAAAGTTTTTAGCAGAGATTGTTAGTGCCAGTGAAAGAAAAAGAGTGAAAAGACTCAGAACCATGAAATCTACACAAGAGTAAGCTCAAATTAATATTTTTTGTTTTAATACACAGGAGACATAATATATTTAACTGACCTTATGGGTTTTATGTTCCATAATAAAAATAAAACTTCTGTGGAAATAAATGTGTGTATCAGTAAGCCTGTAATAAAAGATTTGTAATGTGATTTGTTGTGCAGTGCTAAGATGTATTTGCATGCAAGAACTTCAAATTCACTGCATAAGGTTTTCAAGTGTTTGTTACTTAATTACTACCCTACATGTATGTAAAGGGGAGCTGTTCTCTCACAACTCATCTGCTTTCTAAAATTCTCAGGTTGTTATACATTCACACAGTGGAACCTTGCTATTACACTGTGCATCCACCATTAGGCCATGAAAAATTTGGTTACAAGTGTTTAAATGGAGTTGCCTATACCTAATAAATTGTGATGGTTTTATTAAAGGAGAGATTTCTATTTCTTTCAGTTTTAGAATTCTCTGGAGCTGTGTGTTCAGTTATCAGAATCAGCCATATTCTGGGTTAATAGTACATGTGGGTATCAAACAGTAATTTTGTTTGTTCATTCATTGATTTTGTACATGATGGATACTAGCTTATGTATCCTCATGTGTGTTGGGTGGGTTTTTTAATGATACTATTGATATATTCCCACTTTAACCTTTATTTTTTGTTGTGCTCTTTTTTATATATACCTGACTGGACTTATACAGGGAATAATAATTGACCAATAAAGGCTACATGGCTCCTATCTGAAATTGTAGAGGGCCCAAGTATTTGAACATTTTGGTACCACTTGGTTTGAATTCAGAATCCTCTTCTTTGACCTACACTTTTTTCTTATTGTTTTGTTGTTATCATGCTGATAATCGACATTGCTACCACTTGACTTTTCATTAATAATTCTACTGCTTCTAGTTGTGAATTGTCAACATGTACTGGTTTTTGCTTTCAAAATTATTTTTTGAGTTACATTGTACCAAACTTTTAACTTATTTCAAGTTACAATTTGAGAGATGCGATCACCCATCACTCCCTGACTTGTCACTTAAAAAAATGAATAATTCTATGTAACTGTTACTGATAGTATTTGAATACATGTATGGTGATTTAATAGTATTAAATTCATTATTTCAGATTAATTCTGCACCCCACTTACCACCCACATCTATTCTATAAATTATGTTGCCTTTGAGCTCTGAATAATCATACATCAGTTTTTCCAAATGACATATAATGTTTGTTTTTATTGTTTTAGGATAAGGACAAGTACATTATAAAGATAACTAATCATAGCACATCATGTCAACCAGAGAACAAGCAAGCAGAGTTTGAATTAATATCTCCAGTAGAGGTAAATACGCAGTTGGTATCTTGTTTACAACTTGTGTACATTATTAGCATGTAGTTATGTTCAACGTAATCATTTTTATTTATTAACTCGTAGATAAAAAAGTGCTGTTCAAAGTATTTTGTTAGGCTAGAGCATGGAGCAATTGCAGTTTTAACTGCTAGCAGTCTTAAGATGACCCGGTTAGCTCAACTGGATAAGCACCAGTCTGCCGAGCGGGAGGCTGCTATTTCAAACTTTGGCAAAAACAACACTTAGAAAGTGCTGCCTTTGGAATGAATGTGTAGTGTGCTTCACACCCGTTTTTTGTGTTGTCACACAACACTCCTCCCCACAATCGGCTGCTTAGAATGGAAGAAGTAGGAACATTGCGTGACGACACAAAGAATGTCTGTGGAGCAGACTATGACATGTGCAGATGGTTAGACTTTCTAGTCGTCTGGGATTAGGACAATAAACTGCAGGCCCTAACCAGTGTTGTAAATTATTATCTCTGAAAAACCCCTCAGGGGATGAGAGTGGGTGATAAAATGATTAAAATTTTTTATTTACAATTTCAGGGCCCTGTTGCACCATTCAATAATTTTTGCAGCTATGCTTGCAATGTAGTTACACCAGTACAAAACAAGTTGCACAAGATCTTGACTAGTATATCTCACCTTTGAACTCAAATGAAGTGAACCTGTCTGCAATGTTTATGCTGCAAAGGTTACATGTATGTGTTGTCTGGGATCTAGCCTCATGTAATATGGTTGTTTTGGTGAAAACATTGCCAATCATGCCCATTTGCAACTTGTTGGGCTAATAATACATGTATCTAAACCCAATTTTTTATTTCCCTGAGTGAAATACAGTGAATGCGTTTTTAATTATTGATAACAGGAAACCCAACTTCTGGCCTGTTGCACCTGTGATGAAGGACATCATATCACATCTTACTGTGAGTTCAATAATTAATTATTATAATTACTATTTCTATTAATATGATTAAGGAGACGTAAAATTAATGATAAATTCAAGGTCTTATCACCCTTGCCAGAGATGGTAAGTTTAAACAGTTGCAGTTTCAGTTTATTCATTTGCTAGAATAAATACAGTCATTCAGTGCAAATTATGGTTTATTTTAGGCACTAAGTGCTGTACACTTTTGGAGACTGTTCACCACTTTTTCTGTAAAATTCTTGCCTGGTCCACAGCGTCCCATTTATCTATCAACTGAAATTTCTGACAATTTTTATTAGCTAAATGAGACATCTCCTGGGGTTGTCTTTCTGACGCTATAATTCAATGTAATTTTTTGTTTTTTCTTATAAACAGGGTCTGATGGTTCACTCTGTGTCACAGAAATAGAAACAGTACTACATCCACAGAAAATGCAGTTAGACACAAAGAAGCCTTCACTTAGCTGCAGAATACTTCACAGATTACATCCTCTACATACTGGCTCACATAAAGAGAGGGTAAATTTTTTCTTTGGTGTCTGTCACTTGTTTTTGTTTTGATTAGGCTTTGTTTTCTGTGGTTACATGTAGTCAAAAGAAAGGAGTATTGCTTAGCTATTACCAACCAAAATATTTCTTTCCTTCTATGAAACTAATATCTTAAAAATTTTGTATTGCTTAGGCATCGTTGATCTCTGTAACTTTTTACACAGGGTGCAGTTACCTTGTCATCTATTGATAATGACCATGTTTGTCTCTGTGGAAGCAGTGTCACTGATGGCAACCTAAAAGGTAAAATTACCTTACGTATTCTTGAATGTTTAAATTAATGTGAAGTATAAATACATGTACAATGTAGTTCATGTTTTCCCATTCTCTTCTTATAGTTGGAATTATCTGTGATAACATACATGTACATTTACTTTAAATTTTATTTATCTTAGACCTAATAATGGTTTGGAACATCAAGTATGGAACTTTGCAGTCTTGGCAAACTCTGGACAAAATAACAACTAAACAGCATTCCATTCCACGACCAGTTCGGTCTGATGGGGCATGCTGTGTACATTATATTCCTGGATTCATCTGCGTTGGCTTTCATCACTGTGTGGCTGTTTGTCAATTCTCTTTAGATGCATGCTCATTAGCTTCAGCTCTTGGACAGTTAGATTCCACTGCAAAGTGAGTACAGTAAATTTAATGTACAGATCAATATATATTGCACAGTCAAACCTGTATTAAACTAGCCTGAGTATCAGACATTTCTAGGGGAAAAGGCGAAAGATGGAAGCGAAAAAGGGAGAGAGCTGAAGGAGAGAAACTCTCTCCCCCTCTTCTCTCTCTTCTCCCCCTCCCCCCTCCCCCATCTAAAATCTCCTCTCCCCTAGCCCCTTAGGAAGGCCTGATACTCAGGCTAGTATTAAACGGTCGTACTTGGGGAATAGCTTACTGACTGTTTAATAAGTTCAAGTTCAAGTTCAAGTTCATTTATTCACACTTATTCAATTACAATACAACAACAATAAGGAAAAAAGAGAAGTAAAAAACAGAGCTAACTAATAAAGGTTTAACAAGCCTAACAGTTACTCAAGAAAATGAAGATGATCAAAGAGCAAAATATCTATCCCATGACAAATCAACCTGAAAGTGTCTTTGCCTCTTCTTGTGTCAGAAGAAAGGAAGTAAAAGACCACTTAATGCCATGCACAATGTATCTGTTACACTAGTGTGGTACACTGTACATCTCGTCAAAGAGACTGTTTAACAAAGGTGAAAACAAAAACAAAAAACTTGTTGGGACATCAAAAGAGGTGACCGTGACCACTTAATACAGCTTATTTGTAAAGTAATTAAGAGAAATGACTTGCGGGACTTTGGTAAGTGACCCCTTAATAGAGGTTGACCACTCGATAGAGGTTCCCTCAATAGGCCAGGGTGGTCATTAGACATTGGACGTCGGCGAGTTCTCCTTTACTATGCATAATTCTCCGGCAAGCGTTTGGTAGCCTACGACTATTTATATTCAGATGTGGAGCCTCTTTCTCCTGTAACGTTACACCTTTCTCCTGCTACTAGAATTCTTAATGAAAACCCTGATAGGTTACTACAAAAAAATACTCTAAAATTGCAATTTGAGTATATTATTGCATTTATCAAAGTGGCCTATTTGATTTAAGGTATCATTCTCTACATAAGTTTTATTTCAAACTTTGTTTCATGTCTTTGCAGGTTTCTTGAAGATGAGAGTTGTAAGCCTCAGCTTCTTGTAACACTAAAGTTAGCAAGACCAGGCGAGGTAAGAACAGATTATTGACCTCTCAGCTTTAAGGATGATCTGTTAACTGTCACTGATGATCTCGTTTACTGAATCTTTTTTATGCAGGCGCTTCAAAATTGGTCAGAGACAATGAGAAAAGAAGATGAATTGGAGAAAGAAGTGCTTAAGAAGCTCACTGATCCATTACAGGTACAATTTTGACCTTTCTTATTAACAAGAGAGAGGAGGTCGGGGAAGTGATTTGATATTATACATGTATATAAGAATGCTAACAGGTCCTGTCTGCCTCAAATGAGCTAAAAAGTGGGCATGGAACTACAGGAGCCTGATGATTATGAGATTAAATGACAATAATACCGAGGCCTGGCTCCCGTTCCTAGAAACCGATTAGTCATATCTTTTAGGGAAATATGTACGTGTATTAGTGTTGGTCATTGTGGTTACATATGGAGAAATTTCTAAAATATGGTACAAAAAAGTCACAGAATTGGGTCTGAAAGTGGGTAAAGATTTGAATAAAAGACTGAAGTGCATCCCATCCTACAGACATGGAAGTCGTTTCCTACATCTGTTTTGAATCACGAATATTTTGACTTTATAGTACGAGAAAATAATCATTCCTTTTTCTCTCTTTCAATCTTTATATTTCAGACACCAACGCTAGAAGCGTTTTCTTCAGAGATGAAAAATTACATAACAGTAAAGCTTTCCAAGAAAGGTGTGTACAAAGAAATTTCAAAATTAAACACGCTCACATATCATAATAAGGGAGTTTTTTGCCTTAAACAACAACAAAAATACAGCCATGCACGTGAATCCAATTTTTGGAATCTCTCTTCGACGTATTCTGCCCAACAACGACGTGAAATTTCCTTTTGCCATGCTTTGTGGAGGACGTGAACACAACACGACCAACTTATTCTTCTCTTTCTGAAATTGGAAGTGATCCCTACCAATTCAAATCCAGGAAATTTGCCATAATTTGTCATGATCGCAATGGTCCTTGAAAGATCAAAATTCATTTTCTTCGTAACTTTTGAGAAACGGGCCCTAAAGAAGAGAACCAGCATCAAATTAAACTAACATTATGGCGTCGCCTCTGGGATTGGAACCCAGGCCACATTGACGGAAGGCGTCTAGGCTCATTGCTACGCTACCCTTGTTCACCTTATTAAAAAATGTAAAAACCCCCGAAAAATAGACAAAGCAGATTTTAAAACTAGACATAGTGTAATTGTTTTTCCGATCAAATTCTCTATGCAGATAACAAAAGCAAACCAGGGACGACATTTCACGGAAAGGTAAATACGCTGCTGTCTTATGTTAACGATGACGGTGTTGATTGTGGTTTTTAGTAAAAACGAGCCTTAAAAGTTACCGTAGAGTTCTGACCTTGACTACATGTCTTGGCTTCCGCTATATTACGGATTTACTGGTAAAAATATGCGTTTTTTTTAAATTTTTTCTTTTTTTTTGGGGGGGGGGGGGTTATTTAAGCTAGCGAAGGCAACCGCGAAGCGTGCGAAGAGTGCCAGACACGCACGCTCCTCGCGCTCTATTTGACGCACGCTTTCTTCGCTCCCCTGAAAAAGGGGATAAAATAACGCCTGTTATGCTGGCTATACAGGTAGTTGCCTTCAGTCTAAAATACTTAAAAAGCATGAATTTCGTAACTCATCTGGGGTTTTGTAGTTCATCCAGTTATCGGTCTACGTGTCCGTTCGTTACTGCTTGGTTTATCTATTACTGATTTCAAGCTTTTGTCTTCTGGTTAGTTCGGCAAGAAAACAGAAGTGTTATCTCAGCATTTTCTATCAGCTGTTCTATCCAGATGTATCAGTGAAAAGAGCTTTTGGCCTAGGGAGTGTGTGTCTGAACTTCTTAAAACCAAATGTGTTCCTGCCAGGTTAGTGCTGAAAGACTTAAAACCTGTTTTACTGGACCCTCGTCAGAGCAAATCAGGTTATTGTGGGTTGTGCGTTGTTTATACAGCTATTTCGAGAAAGGTTGTCGCAAAAAGTACACGCGACAATCCCGAAAGGTATTGTGGGTAAGAATAGCACGAGAGGCCATAGTTGTAAGTTTGCGGGTGTTAAAGGAAAGCAACAACAGCAGGTTCGACAGCTACAGTATCAGAAATAGTGTATTGATCATATCCCATATTACCTTTCGGGATTCTCGCGTGCACTTTTTTCCCCACAACCTTTCTCGAAATAGCTGTTTCCCGGATGTTGCAGGTGTGGTGTAAACATAGTAAAGTAAAAAAAGAAGAAGAATTTAGTTGAATAATATTAAGGCTACGTTCTCGAGGCTCTGGATGAATTCTCGACCGGTTGAAAATTAAACTTAAGGCTAAGCCTTGAATTTTCTCAGACTATATGATGTATAATGTATTTTATCTACCAAACCGAATCGGTTGGTGCCGAAAAATGGGTTTGTGCCTTTACTTAGTAAATTGGTGTCCCCGATGGGATTTCAACCAATGTCTTCCTGGAAATAGGTCGCCTATCGTGGGAAGTAAATATTATGTCAAAGATTTCTGTGCTTTCATCTTGTTTTAGTTGCAGTAAAGACCTGCTGAATTGTGTTGTGGAAAAAAATGATCTGGTGAGCAAATAAAAAGAATCATTTAGACTTATCCTTTGCATTTGATACAGAATTGATATGAGAATTGAGAAAATGTCAAACCCGTGTACAATCTTAGACAGAGTACGCTTCGTAAGAATTCATACAAGAAAGCAATCCTAGTCAGAATTTATGTTATCCACTAAAATTGTGTATGTTGTGGTTCAATTTTATGTTTGGTTTAATTTTTATTTTCTTTCGTTTTGGGGTTTGGTAATGTATGAAACTGAGTTTGAATAGGAGAAAATAGAAATTTAACCAAGGATAAAATTGAACCACATCATAATTATATCTATTAACCTCTAAGTTAAGACATGTAACTGCAAGTTTTATTTTTCTGGCGGTGTAGTGAATTGCGTTCATATTTTAAACTTGATTATTTACACATTTACACAAACAGAGAGAAAATGCTTAGCTTTCGACCCTGCTACAGCCTTGTTCATAGAAGAGCATGTCTCGTGATTTGTGACCTGATTAGTTTGGTCCAGGTGGCTGAAAGGTTGGATCTCCCCTCTGTAATCAGATATGGACTGTTGGCTCTGATATAAATTGCCTCCCGTGGAACTCCCCTGGTGAACCAATCTGGATCTCTTTCCCAATATGTCAACATCGTGCTCTGGTTTGTCTATGTCTGAATGTGTCTACTTAGATACTTCTAAGGAGGTGCCGCCATCTTTTGTGTGTATGTGTTCTGAGAAACGTGCCTAAAATAATGATACATCTTTTGATACAATCCACAATTCCGTCCCCTCCACTGCAACACTATCCAAGTTGTAAACTTGGTAGCAGACTTCTTTCGGTTTCAATCGATCTTGAGGCTTTCACGGGGTTGTCTTGGTAGCTTTAGGCATGTGTCAATGCCGTATGAACTTTTCACTCTTTTGATCTTTTTTGTTGTGCTCTTCACGTAGGTAATTCTGCCTCTTGTTGTTGCATCTGAAGCTTGTCGTCAGCTGGTTATTGTAGTGTCGGCTATTTTGGTTGGCTGGTATGTAATGCCTTGCCAATTGTCCATGCTGGGAAACCGTAATTACTTTATTATTTATTTTGTAGGATCTACTCAAAGAATGCTTCGAGAATATCAAAGGAATTTCTGAGGATTCAGTTGTTGTTTGCTTACGTCACGTGCTGAGGTTTGTGGTTCCTCTTTTCTCAAACTTTATAGAGTCTACTTCTCTCGCAAGCTACCGCTACTTTCAGGTATTGAGAATAAAATTAGCCAATGTATGAAAAGTGGATAAAAGCTACAAGACAGATCTAGTCGAGTATGCTCGTTAGCATGTTCCTTGGAAAGCTAAAAAGCTAAGGATATTTCATTGTTTCTTTGGGAGCGTAAATACCTAGTACCGAAAAATTTTTTACGGATAATTTTCTGGGGGATGTTCATAAAAAACAACAACAACAACAATAACCAAAACGTTGTAAACGGGATTTATTTTTAGGAAATGCATTTATCCATCTATGGATACGAAAGTACGGTTAAAAAAATCAATATCATGCAGGATTCTTGCAAGATACACACGGACCTGGTTCCTACTTACTGAATCCAAAACACGTGTTATTTTCCCACCCCGTTGTTAACTTTCCTAGTCTGCTTGTTGGCAGGATAAAATTTTAATCCATTTCCTATTAGAATAGAGTCCTCTTCGAAGGAAAACGACCTGGATGGACTACAGACCGAAGACGATGTTCATAAGATGCCTTTGGGCAAGACAACTGCGAAGTATTTGTATCCTGAAATTTGCAGTATACAGTAATTGAAATAAAGTGAACCAGTTTTGGTGTTAATTCAAAGCTACTTTCATCTTTTAGCACTATATGTATTGTCTTAATACAATTTTTAGTTGAAATTTTATTTTATATTTGGAGACTCTTATTTGCCTGTTCAGGTCTTTAGTCCTTAACTATTTGCAAGATCATCGATATTAAGTTACCCTGTAAACAACGTTTTCCTTCTCCCATGCTTAAAGCAGCTGTCCTTTGAAGACGCTGTAGTAAGTATTTTATCAATTTTAGTTTGTATCACCGATTTTTTGCCTTGAGCATTTCGTTCACAGACTCAAAGTAATCCTCTTTGTTCCCGAATAAAAACAGTGCCAGTCACAGGAAAGTACTGTGTAGCCCCCGAAATGACCCCGACTGTCATTTAATTAGTTTGTTAACTTGGGAGGGTTATTGGGTTACTTATTAATAGGAAACTTCTTTTCTTCTTTTCGCGCAGTTGTTAATGAAGTTCCTTCTGTATCTTATGGACGGTGGTTTTAATAGCTTTCAAGGTGAAATGGACTGCGAGAGGCTAAAATATCCAAAGGTAGACTTTTTACGTCATTTATGATCGTGATCCGCAGAAATCTACGGAAACCTAATTTAAAGAAGTTGGTGATCCTGGAGATCTTAGTTATTGTCGTGATAATTTGAATTTACTAGCGTTCACTGCTGCACACGTACTTCTTCTTTTACTGAATAATTATGCTGTACATGTATTTTAGGTATTGGACTGGGCGGGATTACTGTTAAACGCTCATTACACTCAGCTGGTGATAACCCCTGAAGCCCACGAATTACTGGTCAGCTGTCACAAGATTGTGGCTCAACAGGTATACGCGCACATCAGTCTTGGTCTTTTTCGCTCCGTTACAATCGCCCTCATTTGTGCTACTCCATCTCAACAAGAGAGAGTGTCAATCTCGAGGGCTCAAAGTTAACTTTCTGTTCCACTAGAAAAGTTTTATTACTGATATTTTTCTTCCAGCAAACTGGTAAGACCAAAAGCAAATTCTTGTTTTAGTTACTTTCCCTTAATTATAAAGGCCACAATTAAAAGCCATTTTTCATCACCTACTGTCTATCTAATTATGATCACCCATTGCCACGATTAGCCTATGCTATTGGCAAGAAACTGATTAAAGATTATAGTTAGAGTAATTATAGATTTGTCTTTCGTATAGTGTAAAAAATTATGCCGATCTCGGAGGGAATTCAGGTCCTCCTCGGCCAAATTTTTCACTCAAAATATTTCCAATTTAAAAACTTTACTAAACAAAGCCTTTTTAATGCTGACACTGGCAAAAATTTGTTCGGACTAGTTTAACCAGTACTTTAAGTATTCACATACTTTTATTTTTTCTGTAGATTAAAACTTACGGCAAGCTACGTATTCTCGAAAACTTGTTAGAGCACATCAAGAAAAGAAAACCTTTGCCCAAGAGTGATAAAGTTGGACTTTACACCATAGAAGAATTGGAACTTTAAAGCTTGCTTTTCACTTGTCGTGGATGTCAATGAGCTTTGTCGGGGCTACTCGAAGATTTCCAAAGTTTCGGAGACGGTCGTGGGCTTTCAGGCATAGCTGGCTATGATGAAGAGAAACGGGAAACAAGAAAAACAGAATAGCTTCTCTACAGATTGTGCTGTACCTGCACCTCAGAAAATGTTACTGGGTGGACTTATGGCAGAAAGTTGTTGTTTTTAAAACCTGACTGAAGATAGCCTTCTTTCCGTATCCGTTGAATGTAGTGCTTTTTACAGGACAACTCATGTTTTCGTTCTTGTCTATTTTGCGTAGCCAATGAAACAATGACGCTTACTCGTCTGAACACTAAAGTACATCAAGTGAGAGTAGAGATGTTGTATTGTACACTGTCTCCTAAGTAACTAATAATTTAGTATCAGCGATTCTTTCCCTAGAAATGCTAGACTGACTGAAATGGGAAAGCAGCGAATCCCATGGGTCCTATTTGAGTGTAATAAACTTGAAAGTAGGGCGTGATCCATTTGCTACCATAGCTCAGGACTGGTAAAACGTAACACACGAGTCAGTTCCTCGTGATTCAACCGATCCCTTGCTGTACATAGTTTAGGCAGTCATTGATATGGGGTATTAAAAGATACACCTTTCTCAAAGAAACCTAGAAATAAGAAAAGTTTAAATGAATCATTGACATGGTTACTGTGTAACTTTTTAATTGTTTTAACAATACAAGGTTTTTTAGCGGGGTAGGGTTAGACTGCAAAACAGTCGGTTTTTTTCTCAAAATCAGTAAAGAAATCGGTAAAGCGTGGCGTAAGAGTCTTATGCGCGCGAAGTGCGCGAGCTTTACACACCCTTCCCCAGTCTCGCTCTCTGTTTTCAACCTCGTTCGAGACCTTTTGTTTGACGGCTCGCGCGTACTTGAATACGCAAAAATACGGACTGTTTTGCAGTCTAGGGAAGGATGGGAGGAAGGAAGAGAGGGAAGAAAAAACATGCGGAAAGCAATTCCCTTTCACAGTGTGAGTGATAGGGGCATCCCCTTCTCATATTACCTTAGCCATTTGGTTTAGGGTTTTGGGTTACAGAAGATGCCCATATCACTAGGGTTTTGGGAATGGGGATGCCCAAAACGCGGGGATGCCCATATCACTGTAACAATACCAATTTAAGCACTGAGGCACACCGGTGTACCAACTCCGCGATATGGCCAGTACCTTACGCATGCACACAACCATCACCTTGGCAGTGGCAGCCATGGACAGCTGTTTCGCCCTTATTGGGGCTCATCAGCTTGGCAAAGCCGTCGGACCTTTGTACGGACAAAGCTAAGGTCGATTACTGGCGGAGTAAGTTTTCGCAAAGGCTTCTGGGATCGTTAGTGAGAACGCGGTATTCAGCTATTGGCCAATTTCTTTTCCCTGTCCCTAGTTACAGTCCCAGAAGTCTTTGCGAAAGCTAACTCGACCAAGTTTCCTCTTTTCTAAAATGGCAATTACAAAACAGGCAGCCTCTTAAACGGGAAAAACTCAGTCTCAAAGCTACGAAACTTGGGAAATAAAATTTCGAAGAGCCAGCCGTTAGAGAATATAAAGAACTGTTATTTTCCTATTAACACGGATTGTTGACGCTTATAAGCACTTGTATTCATTCGGCTGTGCCGTACACAGCCTCCTCCACAGGTTTTGCCAAGGCAAGAAACAACAATTAACTCAAATATCCCCCAAAAAGTGATCGTGAGCGTCTCGGGGACGAGGCAGTGCCATACAGTTTGAAGAAATTTGACGTTTTGGCCCAAGTCAGATTAAGTGTTAGGACTCTTATGGAAGCATCAGAGCAAATCAGTGCTAATGTCTCAGACCCAATTTGCCAGTGATTTACCCTTCCATGTTGATTTTGGCAAGGAAGCACTTTTGGTCTTGTTCTTTCTAAAGATCGCAAATCCCATATGAATTTTAAAAATTCTAATATTTGTGACATCACACTTCACACTGCACTTCAGCACAGCGCACTTTATGGTTGCTCAGTAGTTCCAAAATAGCGGGGATTCTTTCCCTGAGGCGACAGTTATCGCCACTTCGCAGCTCGGTCCTCTCCTTCGCGAAGCCGGGAACAATTAAAAAAAAATTCTGGGACCAGGGTATTCGTCATGCTTGTTCGGAGACATCGTTATTTCATGACGCTTACGGGCTCCTAGCGCCACTAATTGCTTCAATACCCACGCAGACAGGGAATAAACGACTTAATGCGGCTCTAAAATAAATCCTCTTAAACATTTAGTCGCATACTGAGACGATTAACACCGTCAAACATAGACTACGAGTAGTCCCCCATTTTTCCTCAGGGATAGTACAGCGAACGAAACGCGAGCACGCGTGAAAATCACCCCACGCAAGAAAAGGCGACACGCGTCATTTTTCTCTCTNCACACAACCATCACCTTGGCAGTGGCAGCCATGGACAGCTGTTTCGCCCTTATTGGGGCTCATCAGCTTGGCAAAGCCGTCGGACCTTTGTACGGACAAAGCTAAGGTCGATTACTGGCGGAGTAAGTTTTCGCAAAGGCTTCTGGGATCGTTAGTGAGAAAGCGGTATTCAGCTATTGGCCAATTTCTTTTCCCTGTCCCTAGTTACAGTCCCAGAAGTCTTTGCGAAAGTTAACTCGACCAAGTTTCCTCTTTTCTAAAATGGCAATTACAAAACAGGCAGCCTCTTAAACGGGAAAAACTCAGTCTCAAAGCTACGAAACTTGGGAAATAAAATTTCGAAGAGCTAGCCGTTAGAGAATATAAAGAACTGTTATTTTCCTATTAACACGGATTGTTGACGCTTATAAGCACTTGTATTCATTCGGCTGTGCCGTACACAGCCTCCTCCACAGGTTTTGCCAAGGCAAGAAACAACAATTAACTCAAATATCCCCCAAAAAGTGATCGTGAGCGTCTCGGGGACGAGGCAGTGCCATACAGTTTGAAGAAATTTGACGTTTTGGCCCAAGTCAGATTAAGTGTTAGGACTCTTATGGAAGCATCAGAGCAAATCAGTGCTAATGTCTCAGACCCAATTTGCCAGTGATTTACCCTTCCATGTTGATTTTGGCAAGGAAGCACTTTTGGTCTTGTTCTTTCTAAAGATCGCAAATCCCATATGAATTTTAAAAATTCTAATATTTGTGACATCACACTTCACACTGCACTTCAGCACAGCGCACTTTATGGTTGCTCAGTAGTTCCAAAATAGCGGGGATTCTTTCCCTGAGGCGACAGTTATCGCCACTTCGCAGCTCGGTCCTCTCCTTCGCGAAGCCGGGAACAATTAAAAAAAAATTCTGGGACCAGGGTATTCGTCATGCTTGTTCGGAGACATCGTTATTTCATGACGCTTACGGGCTCCTAGCGCCACTAATTGCTTCAATACCCACGCAGACAGGGAATAAACGACTTAATGCGGCTCTAAAATAAATCCTCTTAAACATTTAGTCGCATACTGAGACGATTAACACCGTCAAACATAGACTACGAGTAGTCCCCCATTTTTCCTCAGGGATAGTACAGCGAACGAAACGCGAGCACGCGTGAAAATCACCCCACGCAAGAAAAGGCGACACGCGTCATTTTTCTCTCTTCCCGCCGCGTGTCGCCTTTTCTCGCGTGGGGGTGATTTTCACGCGCGCTCGCGTTTCGCTCGCTCTACTATCCCTGAGGAAAAATGGGGGACTACTCGTAGTCTACGTCAAACAAGATCATCTTCATTTCATTCATCACCCCGCCCAACCTCGCTCCCAGGTTTAAAAGGTTCACCGCGCAGTTTTTAGTGAATTTTATGAGCATCTAAGCGTAGTGAAGCGCTTAACGAAAAAATGTGACCATTTTTAAAACTCGCTGAAGTTAATCGCCACTATAATAGCTGAATGAAATAATCCCGCTATCTTCCGAAACACTAGCCTCACCCCGCAGACATTCTTTGGGGTTCGTCTTTTGGGCTGGAATGCGTGACGAACCCCTAAGAACGTATGCGGAGGCAGGCTACTGAAACACCAATTCTCGTGAAATCCTGTTAAATAACTTCGCTTAGGTTGAAGATGACATAACTGATGAGCTTAATAAGAACTTCTTTTTTTTGGAGGGGGAGGGGGGGTATAAGGACGACAGCACGGCTCGTTCGATTTGTTATATATATATATATATATATAATAAATGAAATGACATTTGTGGAGAGAAGAACAGAGAAAAAAATTCTGTGTCCGAGATGGGAATTGAACCCACGACCATCCGTACACTAGTTTTGTTATATCCGTACACTAGATTTGTTGTATATGTCGTAATTTCGTTCGCGGTGTCGTTACTTGTTCCCTATTATGTATTCTTAAACACGAGTAGGAGTGTTTCATTCAAATCCAGACACAGAGATATTCGTGAATGTTAAAAGAAAAACCGAGCGGCGTTTCTTGAACGAATTCGTAAGTTCGCCAAATTTCGTGTTTATATAAACGGACAAATTTATAGATTATAGGTTTTCAAAGTCTCTAAACGTCCTCTTCACGTTAATGATTTCACACTTTCCCCCTTTTTTCTCTATTAGATATTGATTTAATTAAATTTAAAGTTACAATTTAGCTTTATATTAAAATGAGATCATTCGTCAATCTGTCTTTAAGCTCATCACCCGTGTTGCCGCTAGGTTGGCTTTCATTTCTTTTAAAAACATTTTCACTGCTGTATGTCTCGTCTGCCAGTCTGTGGCATAATTTAGGAATGTTTGTTTAAACTAGAGAGACGGATTTTTTAAGCTTTGTTTATAAACACGCCTTTTTCCGAATTCCTTCATAAACTTAGCCTCCAAAGCCTCGGCTTCGTAACGCGTTCCTGAGGAGGATTGCGTGACGAGCGGCTACCATAACCATAAGGAAACTTTGTCTCACTCTGCCTTCCAGGGATGGATGGTACAATGATGGTACACACTCATCACTCCCGTAAAATAAACTAGAAGGATAAATAAAAGAGTAGCTGAGATATTTATTTTAAAATCGTTCAAGAAGGGTGTTGTTATTGTTGACTCCTGAAGTACTTCGTAGGATGTCGCGCATTGGTGGAATTTCCGTCCCGCCAACAATCGATTTGCGCGGGAAGGCTTGGTGATGACGTCAGTAAGAGATGCAAATGTATTTTCTGAGTGCATATCGTTCAGCAATCAACAGTCGGCCGAAAGTTTATACGGGGTTACGTGTCTGCCTATATATGCTTTCATCGACAAAAGAAATATCACCGGTAACACCGGATCTCCACTTTGGGGCTTAGCTTTGAAACTAGTCGCCATGTCGAGTGTGCAAAATGGTTCAAAGCGCCCTGTTAGCGAGACGTTCGATGTTGCTTGCAAGGTTAGTAAAATTCTTTACTCACTAAACAGTAGTTGTGTGAGATAAATCTTTGATAACAAAGCTGTTTGGTTATTGTTTCGTCTACGTAGTGATTATTGTAAAGTTGCTTTATTTATTTCTCTGACTCAATTTCCGCGTTTGTCTTTATACTCGAATGTTGGATATATGCACTTGCGTGTGTTCGCTTCTGCTCTCAAAAATTTCACCGTTCGAATCTGCTCTGTTGAACACGCTTAGTGTCATTAAACGAATGGGTTCAAATGGCATGTTTAGTTTAGTTTGCCTTATGTTT